TACAATGGTTTCCAAAACATTTTTTGCTTAAAACATTTTTTGAGCCTATAGCTTTGATATATGTATTTATTCATAAATTCTATACATAGACTATCATGTTAATACTTAAAAACATGTCAAGATAGAATTTTTTAAAGGATGAGAAAAAATGTTAAGTAGAAGCCCTGACTATCCGCCTGGATGAAAATAAAATTGTATCCATATCCATCATTTAGCAAAATAAATAAATTCCAGATGGATTAAAAGCTCAATTGTAAAAAAAATATTTTAAAAATCCTTTCAGAAAAATCTTGGTTACTACATGCAACAAGAAGTAGGGGAGACCTTAAATAAGACTGGAAACCCAGAAGTTAAAAAAGAAAGAAATGCACATGTTTGACTTGTTTTAAAGAAAATTTTTTTGTATGGCAAAAAGATGTATAAGCAATGTCAATAGAAAGTAGGTTTGAGGTAAATCTGCAACTCATTGGGCAGATAGAAGGTCAGGAAAAGAGTGAGGAATAAAATGGAGTCACTATGGTTAACCTGCTAAATTACTAAAACCAAGTAAGCTGAGGCATGAGGAAATTATTCTAATTGAAGATTATATCGGGTGTCCCAAAATTCACGCAAGAACTAATTTTGATAGAAAACACAGGTTTATAATTAAAAATTGTAAATTCTTTATTGATTCATAAAGTATACAGTATAGGGTTATGTATGGAATAGCACATTGGGTAAATGGCCTCCATGGTTTTCCTGGCACATATGCAAAGCCATGGTCTTCATTGGTCTTCATTGTCCCTGCCCCTGGGCTATAATTGGTACTTGGTAATGCTTATCAAATTGAAGGGATTGAAATCAAAGGGCAACAGATATTAGAATCTGATTCAATAAACCAAGGAAAAATAGGCTCTTATTTGTTGTTGTTAATGCTCACACAAAATTCAAATCTTGCGTGAATTTTGGGACACCCTATATATACATCTCCTATAGATAACTGAAGAATATAGGAAAGAATGTTTACACATCTAGAGCACCTGATATCCATTCTCCAGACCACTGGTCTTCTGGAAGGTTACCATCTCAGAACAATCCAGAGACTAAGGATGCAGGACTGTCTTCTCAAGAATGTACTTTTTACTATAAGAACTCTCAGTTTTTCTTTCTTCTTCACAACATTCTGGGTAGTTCCTAGTTGTGTTTATGATTTGAAAATCCTAAGACACTTGACTAAATCTTTATCATTTAGTTCTAGCCAAAGCCTCTTTATTCTTTGTGCTCTGTTGAAAAGTATAACATTCAAAAATCAATTACAAATTGTCAAGAAGGGAATAAATAACCCTATAGAAATTGGGTAAAGAATATAAATTGGGCCCAGCAAGTGTGGCTCAATGTTTTTTTGTGTTGATGTATGAACATGGAGGTCATGTTTTGATTCCCGATCAGGGCACATGTCTGGGTTGCAGGCCTGATCCCCAGTGTGGGGTGTGCAGGATGCATCTGATCAGTGATTCTCTCTTATCATTGATGTTTCTATCTCTCTCTCTCCCTCTCTGAAATCAATAAAAATATATTTTAACAAAAACAAAAGACAAAACAGAGACCAAGATACCTGCCTTCTAAGACTGCTGTGGGAATTAAATAAAATAGTGTAAGAGCACATAGCTCAGTGCTAGAAAAGATGCCTAGAAGATATTCCATAAATGTACATTTATCCCCACTTCTCTCTGTATAAGAATCTGCTATCCAGAAAAGACCTGATAAAAGCTAATTTATAATGATAAAATTCATAAGTGCTTACTGATCCTGGGGGGGGGGGGGGGG